CACACCGTCATGACAGGTAGGTTGACAGACCTATATTGACAGCAGCTAACGAATGGCTATTTAACCACAACAATCAAAAACCGTGGTACAAGTAGGTTGATAACTGCTGCTATGATGATAATACAAAATATTATTATCATTAGTTATCATATTTTTCTACTATCTATGTTCTACATTCAGCAAGTAACAGCACAGTACAACAGATCATTATTATGCTATTTGAAAATTATAATTTTTAGTTTTTATAGGTAGTAAACAATAGCTTTAAAATTTGGCTTACAATCTCATAAGTGCATACATTAAATGGACACGCGTCGCGAAGCGTTACTATTATTTGTTTAGTTATGTTCAATTTATTCAAAATATGTTCTGTGCTCAAATAATTGTTTTAAACAATTTACACTAAATAAGGAATTTTGGATTTAATTTGCTTACTATTTTAATTCTACAGTAAATATTTAAAATGTTGCTTATTTTACATTTATAACTAACTTTTTTTTATTATATAAACAACTTTATTAATAAAAAATAATGCAATAAAGTGGACTGTGTTTAAATGATTAAGTTGTCTAAAGACTAGATTTTTGTAAACAGTGTATTAGGAACCTACAACAAAATCATAGTTAAGTTTGAAATTGTATTAATTATCAACTTAATTTAAGTCGGTAGTTCCAAACTGTGATTCAAAGTACTTTTACTTTTTTTCTGTTTTCCCCATCCTGTTGGCAAAAAAGATTTGATTTTTCTGTAACGGTAAATTTTTCAACATCATTGATATTTCATTTTTTTTTAAGTCAAGTTATTTCTTATTAAGATCCCGTTAATAAAAATATGGATCAATAGTTTGTGACTCAATTACACAAAATCACACAGTGATACTCAAACTTCAGAAATAAAGTTAGGGTTTGTGTCACGCAAACATTAAATTATCAGAACTTGTCTTTTTTATTTTATTAATAACTATTAAATTAAATAGTTTATAAGTTCTTATCTTTTTATTAGTACTTGCTACTTGCTAATTATTATTATAACTTATAAGGTGTATAATGTTATAATAATAGTGATTCTAAAGCCTTTATAATAAAATATGTCTGTTTCAAAAATTTCAAATTGAAAAGTTAATTCTTTTACAGTTGAATCTGCTTATTTTGATTTTATGTATAATCAGTATTTTCTTATTTTTATTATTTTCTTCACTATTTAATATCTAGAAAATTAAAAGCTTAATAGATTTTAGTTGTTTAAAAAGAAAACCATTATTTGATATTTCCTTGTTTACTATACAAATTAAAGTATTGACATTATTAAACTATTATAACGGGTACGTTTTACTAAGATTATGTAAAAGTGGCAATATTAAATCAAAAATAGCCTTAGCTAAATTGTAGTATCTAAATTTAACAATTATTCTGTAATAAAACACATTTTTAAGGATTTAAATTTTATGGAATTTGTACGCGACAAGTTTGTCTGATTTTATACACATACACACATGTATACTATATTTATGTATGAATACAAATAATTATAAAATCAATTATACTAACTTATAATGCATAGTTGTTAAAAATAAAATTTGATTACCTTTAATGATGCAAATAATGGTTAAAAGAATATTTGCTGTAATGCGTATGCGACAATTTTCCTACTTTAAAGAGTTAAAAACAATTTTTATTAATTTTTACTGTGTAGTTTACAAAATTTGAACATTGATAACACATAGTCAAACAATTGTGTTGATAAATTTCAACGACAAATATATAGTATAGTATAACATTTAAAGAACAATAATAATCTTTTGTCTGATAATATAAGTATTTAACTAATAAAATATTCATAAACTAATTATTAATACAACAATAAATTTAAAAATTGCAAATGTTACTATTTTGAAAATATTCAATCAAAAATATTAAACAAAAACAATATCTATACATTTGAAATTGTTCAACTTCTATAATACTGATTTAAATTTTTTTCTTTTAACAATCGTTGGTAATTAAACAAATCTAACAAAATCAAAATTCAATAAATAAAATTAACTATAAGAATTATCTTAGGCAAGTTCAAAAAAATAATTTACTTGATTTACTGAATTCATTAAATACAAATTAATAGAATTACTACTTTTTTAAAGAGAGAATTATTGTATATTAATAAATTTGATATAAAATTTAACTTTGATAGCCAAATACCTGTGTCAGTTATAGCTAAAACTTTATGATAAAATATTATAGTATATTATGTATATATTGTCAGACACACAATATATGGGTTATATCATTGTAAGAAATAACTAAACTGAAAGCAGACATTTGAACTACCTTAGATAAGTTTAATCAAATAAAAATAATATACTTACATATTATTATAAATATTGGTATAATCAAGAAGCGATTCCTTGTATGTAGTAGTATGAAATTCATACATTAATTACTGATATTTTTAAAAATAAATGAAACGGGTATATGAGTATTATCAACCCACATACACAAATACATGCATTAATAATTATTTTAAGTTAACACAACACACTTTTCATTCAAATTGCTTAGTGTTGATATTATACATTCACGTGAAAAAATGTCACATTAGAAATAAATGTTTTATACTTATAATTTACACCTTGATATATAATTGTAAGGTCTTGGGTCCGATTGGAAAGACATTTCCATAGCAATTGATATGTCATACTCAAAACCAATTTTACATGATAACATTGGTTTTTAAAAGATGAAATATTTTCAGTAAAAAAGCATTCAACCTAAATTAAAAAAGCTAATTGAAATCGTATTGAATTAAATTACCCATTAAACTCTAATAAACTTACCTATTAAATTGATGCTTTATATTTATAATTTACACCTTGATATAAAATTGTAAGGTCTTCAGTCTTGGGTCCAATTGAAAAGACATTTCCATAGTAATTGGTATAGCCTATTCTCAACGCCATAGATATTTCTGACATGATAACATTGATTTTTAAATGATAAAAGATTTTCGGAAAAAAGCATTCAACCTAAAATAAAAAAGCTAATTGAATACGTTGTATTAAATTATCTATTAAACTTTAATACACTTACCTATTAAATTAATGGTGTGTCCAAGAATGTAACGTCAAAATAAAGTCGAGAGCAAATATTATCAATTGATATATTTAAAAAATTATAAAATAACGAGTTATGACATAACTACAATAAGCATGCTATCATATTTACTATAAAGTAAAATGTAAATTTACTAACATTTTTTAATTACGTTTGCAATTTCTCATTTCACTAATGGAAAACGTGTGAACTTCGAAGTCGAAATTTGTTAGCGATGAGGTTATGTACAAATAATAAATATAATGCGATTTTGTACAAATAATAAAATATATTATGGGTACTGGTCACTCGATTATTCCGTGGTAACTGATGCATAGTTTAGATACTAGATTGTTATCCGAGATAACCAGCTAATGACTAGCTCCAGCTAGATTAGGTTAAAGTGTAAAGTCCGTTATCCGTAACAGTCTACCTTTCGTCTAATAATGTATGGTTATTTATTATATCTGATTATGATACGGAATGCGTTAACATCAAATTATTATTATATTTGATGTGATGACCGTCGTAATAAAACTACTTGTCTTTGTCGAATCGAATGAAATTATTAAGAAATATAGACAAAAATTCAAATCTTTACAAAGTCATAAACAGCGAACAAATGGATGAAAATTAAAAATTCAAACGCTAACATTTTTTTAGATTTTTTGTCTTTATATTTATGGAATTTAAAACATATGTTCCCATTTGAAAAAACGAGGTTCGTACTTATTTAACGTATAAGGGTTGAAGATAAAATTTTTCTAAATATTGAAAAATGTAGCTAAATATGTACCTAAAATTTTAGGAAAAAAAAAATTCGCAAAATATTCATACTTTCAGAGAAAATGAGTGTCTTACGTTAGTTGGATCACCCTGTATACAAAAAATACTATTTCAATATTTATGTTTTTTAATATTGGGTTTTTTTTCTGAATTTCGAATAGTTTAAAGTAAATTAGAACAATTTATTAAAGTGGAAATTAATTTTTTTTAAACTTTAAAGGTAAAATAAAAGCATTAAATAAAACTTAATAAGAAGTGATTTACAACAGTAAAGATTTATTTTTTTTTGTTGCTTCACACATGGTTTCAAGTGCATTAAAATGTCAATATTGACTCCAATCAGTAACATGGATAAAAGTAGCCTTACCTAGGTATTAAATAACGTGAAAACAAATAAGTAAATAATTATTTTTGCCTCTTCCCATGACTCATCATTATTGTACCGATGCAAAGTTTATAACTTAGATATCGTTCCCAAAAGGTAATTTACAAAGCCAAAAATCGGTAAAGATCAACATCTTAAAAATCCAAATCGTGAAAAACCCCATTTACACATTTTTCAACTCTTAAAAGTATAAAACTGATAATTTTTTTTATGCCCAATAAATTTTTTTTCTGTACACCTTTAGTAAACTTACAAGGTACACGACACATTATTTTAAATTATAAACACTATTGCTTATTGGGAATCATTAGAAAGTTTATTTTAAAATATTATTTTCGAAAACATACTCAATATAATAAATAATAATGTTGTTTTTACAAAAAATGTATATTCACAGTATACAAATGATAAACTTAAAATTATAAAAACACAATGGTTATATAATTTTGTAAGCAACGTAGTACATAAAAAAAAAACATGTAATTAAAAAACCGTTTACCAATTATTATTGGTTAACTCTACAAACATAAATACAAGTGACAACTACTTTGTTTAAAATTATTTATTGTGGTTTCCCCTCCCTTAGTTATTACTATACGTGACATTGTGCATTGTACTGATGGTGCGTTTTATATTGAACAAAAAAAAAACCGGAAAAAGCTAAATGTATATCTAATGTACAAATAAGATAAAATAAACAAAATGCAATAGGGTTTTGGACTGAAAGTTTGCCGTTGTACGACTCAAACTGCAGGCGAATTTCGATTTTTCGCAGTTTCGCGTTCGTGAGTTTTAATGTGCGTTTTAAGATAAGCCTTGTATACAAACCCTTTTTGACATATGGCACATTCGTACGGTTTCTGGCCGGCGGTGTGCATCTTCTGGTGTCTCAGCATGTTGGTGCTGAAACTGAAGCGCGTGTTGCACCACTTGCACGAGAATTGTTTCTCCTTGCTGTGCGCCAGCTCGTGCATCGTCAAGTTGGACTTGCTGGCAAATGCTTTTTGGCACACGGAACACTTGTGCGGCTTCTCGCCCGTGTGCACGCGGATGTGCATCGTCAGGTGCATGTTCTGGGCGAACTTTCTGTCGCAGATTTTGCACTGGTATGGTCTGTGGCCGGTGTGCACCGCGCGGTGTCTGATCAGATTGGACAGACACGTGAACATTTTCTTGCACACCTCGCAGCCGTACGTTTTCTCGGGGTTGTGGGCTTTCTCGTGCGCTCTCAAATTGGACCTATGCGAGAACCCCTTGCCGCACGTGCCGCACGTGTACGGCCTTTCTTTCGTGTGGATGCGGCAGTGCACCTGCAGGTGCATTTTCTGGGCAAACGATTTCTCGCAGTCGGCGCACTTGTACGCCCGCTCGCCGGTGTGCAATTTCCGGTGGCTCATCAGATTGGAAGCGGCGGTGAAACGTTTGTTGCACACCTCGCACTCGTACGGTCTTTCGTTCGTGTGACCGCGCACGTGTACGGTCAGCGAGGCGTTTTCGGCGAAACTGCTCGAGCAATACTCGCACGCGTACGGCTATTCTCCGGTGTGCAGTCTGTGGTGTTTGGTGCAGTTCGAAGAGCAAGTGAAACCCTTGCCGCACACCGGGCACTTGTACGGCCTCTCGCCCGTGTGACTTCGCGTGTGCACCGTCAGAGAGACCTTCTGCGTGAACCCTTTGGCGCATACGTCGCACTTGAAGGGTTTCTCTCCGGTGTGCGCTTTCCGATGCCGGATCAGGTTCGACGAGCAGGTGAAGCATTTGGAACACACGTCGCACCTGAAAGGTTTTTCGCCCATGTGCGAGCGTTCGTGCACTTTCAGCTCGATTTTCTGATTGAATTGTTTAGCACAAACGTCGCACACGAACGGCTTGACGCCGGTGTGCATGCGCTCGTGCACTTTGAGACAAGACCGCTGAATAAACCCCTTCGAGCACACGGCACAAGAATAGGGTTTTTCGCCGGTGTGGATCTTTTCATGTGTTGGTTGACGTTGGACACGCTTTTAAAACATTTAACGCACCACATACATTTGTAGTATTTCTTACCGTGTCCGAAAAACGTCAGTAGCCAGCCTACCTTTGGTCGGCGACATTTTTTCCTCTTGTTTAAATAACGTTTAGGAGTGTGTTTGTTTGACAAGTGATCAGTGATTTTGTCTCGGCTGGTATATACTTCACCGCACGTACAGCATAGAAATAGACGTTTTTCATTCGCAATATTTTCCAGCGTTTTGTCGCTTTCTTCCCGTTTCTTTGACATCAGAATGCCATTTTTTTCTTCATCCCGTAGAATTTCGCTTATTCTAAAAAAAAAATTAGTATTATTACTATCGGTTAACTTATAAAAAAAAAAAAATTAAAAAATAAGGTATTCTTTTGCATCTTGCAAATGAGTTTCGGTCAGACAACTTTCCTCTGCCCTCACAAATTGTTGGCCCCATTTGTTTATTCAATTTTTTCTTTCATACTCATTCCTCACGCTGTCTTTATACTATTCCTCATTGCCTAATCATCCCGTCCATTCGAAAAACAAAACTAAGTATAAAAGGATAATATTTTCTATTTGTAATCAACCCTCAACACCTTTTAAAAATCAATCAAACATTATTTTAACAAACATCGGTTTTACTAAAAAAATCTACTTACTTTTTTAAATGTACACGAGGCCTGGTTTGGACATCCACGGTGGGACATTTTTTTAAGTGACAGGCAATTTGTTTTTTAGTAGTGAATGGCTTATGACAGTTGTTGCAAGTGTATGTACGTGTGTTCAGACATGTTGTCTCCTCAGGAATTTTCATTGGTCCTATTTCCAACAATATATATCCTTCTTCTTCATTTTCTTTTTCTCCTTCTTTTATTATATTTTCTACCGGTAAAATAGAGCTTGTTCTAAAAAGAAAACCCCATATTATAATCAGTTGAATTTTTGACAGAATCTTAAACAAGGTTATACATTTTATTTGAAAAATACCGAATTAGCCTAATTTTAAGTAATTTACATCGACAATATATGTAGAACGGTGAAACAATACAACAATTTCATAAATAAATCTCCAGTTTACTTGAAAAACAGAACAATTTATATTTTTCCAGCAGTATTACGAATTAAAGAAAGCGAAAACATTTTATTGCTCGTTAAGCATACCTATTTTGTTTAAATAAACTGTAGTTAGGTTTTATGTTAATATATTCCTAACTCAAATCCGTGCATACAAAGTGTGATATTTTTTTTAAAGTACCTATTACCTAAAGTCTAAAAGTAAGGGCGGGAGAGGAAGTGCGGTTAAGTAATACAAGCAGATAAAAAATATTACTACTCACCACATTTTCCTCTCATCCTAAACTAGAAACATAAATAACTTTAAGAATATGTATCCAAAACTAGTTATCGACCAGCCAAATTTGTCAGTATTTTATTCTTAATTTAAAAAGTCAATAAAATATTTTCGCTACCAATTAAGATTCAAAAGTTGATATAAATATAACTAATTCGTCAAAAGTTGAGATAACTTTGTATAAAAACACTACATAATAAAAATTCTATAACTGATATTAAACCCTATGAGATATTGAGTGGGATGAGGATCACTTTAAAAATGTCACCCTGTATAAATATATGTATACAGGGTATATATATTTGTTTGAAAGTGTTTTCTAACTTTTCAAAATGTTTAGCAGTCCATTATATCCTCATATATAATTTAAAAAAAAAAAACAGTTTTTCATACAACTTAGTTGATACCTATTGTTTAATATGTATTGCAGTTATAACGATTAGTCAAGATATTGCTACAGTACTCTAAAAGACAGATAACCTGATCTGTCTACTTAACATGCATACTTATCAATGTCTTAAATATAATTAAATAAATTGAATATAAATTCTACTGCTGTCAAATTTGAACACAAAATTTGTAAAAAGGTCATACTATCTAAAATTACTTATTAAATATTTATGTTTAGTTTAAAATGGGGGGGAAGAATTTTAAACCTAGTAGACACCTTAATCTGTTTCAGACATACACAATATGAAAACCATCCAACTGTAGGGTAATATCTTATTGTTTAATATTTGCTTCTGTTAGCCAACAACTGCTATAAACTTAATAGACTAAGACATGTTCGGTGATGTGTGAATATCAATAAAGAGTTTTACTCAAAAAATGATCTTACCTATCGGTGTTTTCTTCAATATTTGTACGTTCAACGTTAATGTGAGATTCTGGCAGCTATGTGTAAGTTCTTTCTTCACAATGTTTTCTGTCGGTTGTACGTCCAGCACATTTTCGTGATTTACTATCTCTATTAGGCTCTCAAAGTAAACATTATCGTCTATCTCATCCACTTCAATTTTAACATTCCTCGTTTCGGCTACGTCAATGTTCTCCATGTTGTTCTTTCTGTTAAATAAAAATAAAAAAACAGTTCAGTTTGGTCCGGACAGGTAAAATTTGATACGAGGGAGATTGAGATTTCCCTCGGTCTCCAAGAATCCACCATAAGAGTGATAAAATAGAAAATTCGCCCGTTCCCCCACAAAATAATAAAAAGGCCCAAAAAATGTTTACGTGTAACTTGGAAATATGATACGCTTTATACGTTTCCAAAAACCAGTCAAAATTTGTTTCATTTTGCATTCACACAAAAAACTACCATCCATGTTAATTTACTAGTTACTATCAAAATATTATGTTATGCAATCATTTATGTATATACACTATAAAATATTAAATTCATCGACTCATGCTAATATCTTTATATCTTAATATCTTGATGGTGTTTTATTCACTAGGTGGTCTATAGGTCAGAAGACAAATTTAGCCAAAAAAAAAATCTAATTCACACACACTAGGCCGTTAAAATAGAAATATAAACTATAAGACAGTTTAACCGTATTAAACGTTGTTGAAATAATGGGGAGAAAGAGTTAAACTGATTGAGATGTACATACATTTTAACCAAATAACAATACTAGTGAAATTAACAATAATCCAAAAAAAGCAAGTTTATAAAGAGTCTAAAGCGAAAACGAGATATCATATTTCAGACTTTTAGAGTTACTTTAGATTAATCTATTGTACAATGTTTATTTTGTAAAAAATCGGTTTCATTTTAAAATGTCATAAAACTAGTTTTTATTATTTTTCTATATTAATATTATACAGTAAAAAATATGAAAATATTTTACTCTGTGTAAACTAAATTGTTTCTACAAGTTTCAAATAATTTCCATTAATGAAAAAAAAACGCTATTCATCCGTAATTTGTAGTGTGTAACACTAGTTCTCTGAATACTATAGATTCCGTGTTAGTTTTAAAATCACCAAATTGCATAGAAGTAGAGTTGAATATATCCATGAATTAACGAATAGTTGCGAATTATTGATCACTGTATGCAGATGTTTTTCCACTTTGGTTGTTACCAAAACAACTGACGCGACACTGGGTAGGGTCGGGACAAAAACTATAATGAACGTGTGTCGCTCGGGTCGTGTAAAAATAGGCGGTGGCAGCTATGTGCGTTCGCGTTGACGACGGGGAGCGGAGAGAGCGAACAACATGCATGAGCTGTACCGCCAGGGTGATTAGTTTTAAATAGCGTGTAATTGTAGATGTATAATACATATCATATATATATATATATATATATATATATATATATATATATATACAATAAGTATATATGATAATTTGGATTATAATAGTGTGTATAAACCTGAATAAGAAACCGCCCACCGACGTCACTTTACGTTAATTTCATACGTTTATTTCAGCGCCACTGCACGATTAAGTACGAATACATTGTTGATATCAGTGTACCGTTTTACTACAACTACTAGGGTACCTATACTGGCTGGTGACAATTTGTACATTTATTGCATATTTATTTGTTTATTTTATATTTTATTTGCATGTACACAAAATCGTATAATTGTTTTTTGGTCCGACGTTCCGAAATTGTGTTTGAAAGTTTTATAAAAGTTTGTAAACACCGTGTTATTAAGTAAGTGTGCGATGATGTAATTAAAATCATTGTATTTAGAAGTTATGGCTGGCGGTTCTTACGAGCTATCATGGTGCGTGAAGTGCCGCAGAAAGACAAATTGGATGGGGTCGGCCAAACTGAGGTCCACTAGAAACAAAAAGTATGGACTACATGGAAAGTGTGACAGATGCAAATGTAACAAATTCACATTTGTTACCTCGATTTTTTACCGCGCCCAACTCGAGAAGAGTACTGATCACAACATTGATAATAATTAATCATAGATGTACAATTTATAAACGTTATGACCGTTTGATGATTTTATTTCACAGATTTACATAAAAAGAACTAAATACACGTCCGACATGTGTACCTAATACAGTGCAAGCCAAAATAGCCAAACCGAAAAAAGAAGTTTTGCAAAACACAGTCGATAATTAATGAAACAAATATAATATTCTGGTATCGTAATAAAACAAGTCACGAACAGATCCTTTTCTATTTATTTTAGTCTTATATTCAGTGGCGGTGAAATATACTTACGTGTAGAGGCGGTATAGTGTTAATCACATATTTTGATAAATATAATAATAATAATAATAATAATATTTATTCGCTAGTAGTAGAAATGTTACAAGGTAGATTAAATAGATAATGAAATTACTAGCTTTGCTCGACACTGAGGTAGAACCTCTTATCGTAGAGCAAGAATACTTATCAAGATGTTAAATAATTATGTAAAATAACAACAACAAAAATACAATTAAACTAGAGAATATGATTATAAGAAACTGAAAAAAAAAGTAATCATAATAATAAAAAGTAATAATCTGTTTTGGAGTATAGAGGGTATACAATAAGAATAATAATAGTATAATAACCAAAGAGAGAAGCAACTTTATTTAAAAAAAAAATCAAGCGGGCTGCCTAAAACATAGGTTGCCATATAAGACACAGCATACTAGTCAATACAATAGTACATAACACAGTTTTTCTTTTGACATTGGTGGTAATAATAGTAACATAGGTAAACATGGATTCTTTAAGACAAAAATTAATAAATGAATAATAACACTATTAATCCAATAAATGGACGATTGAATAAAAATTAAAACATTTACGTAGAATATAGGTGGAAATTGATAATATACAATGTGTCTTTCAGGACTAAAAGACACATCCTACGCAGTTCGTCGACTGCTAGACCATTCGCTTTGAAGAATGAGACTAACAGCGACGAAGCTGTTCCTCTGGCCCCCAATCGATAAGCAATGGACTCCCTCAAATACTTCAAATAGATTCTTTTTTCGAAAAATTCGATTGGCCATCGACGTACGGTTCCAATAGTTTTATTATGATTATCTAAATTGTCATATATATCTTTGGTTAGGTTTGCTAGAGCATCTTCTGTACCTAAACCTTTTCTAAACCCGTACTGTGAGTTGGGTAACAAATTGTTTTCTTTTAAATAATTTATTAGCCTGGAATTATGTTTCAAGATTTCCCACAAGCAAATATATCATCCGTATAACACAACAATTCACCAAATTGAAACACAAGGATCTCCTGTAAGTACATGATGATCCAGACTAATTATAGCGAGACATATTGTAACTTTTTATTTTAAAAACCATCATAAATTACATATAATACAAAAAAACATTAAGATAGTTAACGTGATTATCTATCTCTTTTAAGCTAATGGCTTGTGTTGGAGATAGAGAGTAATTAGTTAATAAACAAGAACATAAATTATATTATTAAGTAACAAAGTACAGTAATACAATGGTATGTAATAAATAGAAGGTATGGTAGTAATAATAGGTATGGTAATAATAAATAGAATGAAAAAAAAAAGAAAAGAAAAATTTTTTAACAATAGAAAAATTATGAGTATGAGATATAATATTAGATATAACAAAAACATACGAGTGACTTAAACTAATTGAGAAAACAACCAATGATACACAATTTTTTTAACATTACTTTTAGAATAGTGAAAATTGTTTTTACGTTGACATGGCATAAAGTTAAAATACACAGGCCCTAAATAATTAACAAAAGATTTATAAGAGAATTTGACAGGTATATTATACCGTATATTTTCTCGTTTATCTTCCAACAATTAACAATCTTTACCTCGTATGAACCTTTTAAAAGTGAACAAAATGGCAATTTTTTTATAAAGAAATCTGGTTGGTAAGTACCCAGCTCCCTATAATTTTCTGTCGTAGAACCTTGCAAGGAGTACTTTAAACAAATTCTTATGATATTATTTTGGTTAACTTGCAATTTATTTAAAACAGTATCGCCTAATCCCCCCCCCCCCTTATACTAACATTCCGTATTGGCATATTAATTGATAAATGTAGAAAAAAAAATAGTATTTAACATTGTTAGTAAACGGTTCGACGGGACCCGTTATTCATTTCTTACGATGAATCATTAAATCAGTAAAAAAATATTTGATAGTATATACAATAAGGTAAGGTTACCTATGCGATTTGAAAAAAAATATTGGCACCAAAATTATTCATGGAAGAAACAAAACATGGCTAAACGACCTGGCGTGGTTTTGTGGGGATCGCGTCCGTTGAATGCAACGGCCATAGATTAAATACATATAGATAGGCCACTGCTATATTGGGAAATGGCAACCGCTATTTCGTTTCTTTATTTTTGAAGAGATAGCGTAGCATACCCTTATTGACAAAATATATTATATACGAGAATACCAAATAGACTATCAAAATAAATTAACAACATTAAAAAACATAAATAAATAAATAAGAAACCCCAAATAAAACATACTGTTCAAAAAGGTTTAAAAACCTATTTAACCGAAGAATATTTGATTCTTTCAAATAATCAGTTTTTTGTTTACATTATTTTTAAAATTTTATTTACATTTAACATTGGAATAACCAATTAAAAAAAAATCAAATGCCTTTTAAAATGTTTAATTGTCGACTGAGCTGACTTTATTATGTTTTGATTTTGTATTAAATACTCTAAAAAGTTTACAATAAATTAATGTCATAGTTAGGTATTCTCAGTGTGGCGAGCATTCTTGTAAATTAACAACAAGCGGAAAAAATTCTTTACTAATAATATTAAACAACTTAAAACTTCTTTGTTTACTTTACGGGGCTTTTTCTAAAAAAATATGAATTATTTGTTGAGCATTTGTCACAAAATTAATATCAGAATAGGTATGCGTTTGAGCATTTGAAGGGCTGCGGGGAAAAAAGATCAATGTCAATTTTTTAACATTCTGAGAAAATCATGTTTTTGATTTCAAAACGTAATACATTTTGCCTGTACCCCTGAACTTTAGGCGATCGTTACTCTCGACTTATCTTTTTTTTCCCTGGTTGGAGCGCATAAAAGATACAATACATCAA